AAAGAAGCCATTAAATACTACAAGATTAAGGCTAACAAGTACAAGAGTAACAAACATAATTATAAAAGAAAGCAATTAAGCCTTTAACAGATTATTGTCTTTATCTAGTTAACAGTCAGCCTGCATCTGCAGCGTATATGCTGTTCCCTAGATTAACTACTTAGACAGTAGATTACAAACCTTAAAGCTACAGTAGGCGTTAATAACTAATTTAAACAAGAACGTGTGCGCAACTAATATAATGCATCTCTAAAGCTGCTAAGAAACGCAAGCATATAGAACCTATAGCTAGCAGAGTATGACTACGCTGCTACAGAAGCAGAGACACAAAATGTTCTAGAAACAACGCAGTTTAATGCTATAGCAAAGGACTTTCTAACTACTATAAATAAAGTTGCCCTTTATTAGTCTATAACTTTTTAGAAAAGCAGACAGTTTACACTAAACATAAATTAAAAAGAAATAATAAAGCACTTTTAAAAATATATAATGTTAAATTATCTAATACATATAGAAAAGCATAAAGCTGCCTTTATAACAGATAACTTATTATACCTTACTAAAAGTAGAAAGACCACCTAAGGCATAAATAAGGACGCCTATAGTGCAGAAGTTACAACATTAAGAAAATAGAGTAGACCTTAACATTAATGTTATTAAGAAAATAATAGGAAGTTATTTTTAAGCTAGAAACCTGCTAAAATAGGAGGCACTAAATGTCCTACATGCAGACATATCTATGCACTAAAGGACTGCTTCTATGTCTATCTAGACAGAGCACTAGACTAGTAGATGCTAAATAAGAGAGTTAAAGAGCTTGTAGCATTAAAGCGTAAGCACAACTTAGAATTTTAAGGCCTGCTAAGAGGGCAGCGTAGACATAATTTAAAAATACTAATTCTAAAGAGTTTACATACACCTATGCTAGAGATACAAAAAGACTAACTTAAAAGCTAGGAAGTATTAAGAGTTAAGGCAGCTACATTGCTAGCTATAGTTAATTTAAACTAGAATAGATATCTGCTAAGAGAATTATTTATCCTTAACTTAGGCTTAACATGCTATATTATAAATAATTTTAATTAGATCTACAACTATTGTTTACTAACACTAGGAGACTTTATCTAGTCTAGAAACTCCTGCATATAGATTTAAAGCTATAGATTAATTACACTAAGCCTAAAAAGTAAGCATAGAACACATAGTTAAGCATACAGTCTTGTACTTTATAACACTGCACTGTGCCTAGACCTGCTGTGCAACCTAGTCTTGTTCTGCCTACTGCAACAGAAAGGAATCTAGTAGAACACATAAGTAGAGCTAACTGCTTTAAAGGCCCTAAACAGGATAATAATTAAAGATCTTACAAAGATTTATAGCTAATAGGTGTTAGAGTACTATCTACTATAAAAGGGCTTATATTATACACACATAATTAACACAAGAACTAAACATAGTCTATAAAAGGCATTAGTAGAGCTATAGCATAAGTGTCTAGGACACCCTAGACTAGCTACACTTTAACACCTTATACAGTAAGCTAAGGGGGTGTAAATTAAAGAAATTATAACAGTCTAATGTAACTTATGTGGTAGAGCTAAGATACAATAATAAATTAGCTGCGCACTGTAAATTAGTAATAGCAGACTTAGTAAAAGACTATTAATTAATTTCTATGCATATAAAGCACAGAGTATTATAAAAAAGTAAAGTTAAATGCTAATTACTAATAAGTATTTTAGCCTCTAGTAGGACCTCTACTTTAAAAATAATAGGCCTACTAAATTAATTATTAAAGCTTTTATAATCTTTATTCTCTTTTTAAAGAACTATTATAATATTACTGTAAAAGTTATTAAAGCTAATAATAAGATTATAATAGTAAAACTAGAGGTAGAACGCTAGCTAGCATTATAAGGAATAACTGTTAAGCTTTTAGCACTAGATACACAAGCCTAGAACAGAGAAGCTAAACGCTTAAAGGGTGTAAACAAGAAGAAGTTATAGGCTATGCAACTAGATGCTAACCTACTATAGGACATATAGCTATACATTACTAGAGCTGGCGTATACCTATATAATTAGACGCTAAACTATGCTAATAACTAGAAGACACTATATAAGATCTTTTTTACATAAGTAGCTCTAAATAATAGAGTTATTATGTTAATTTAAAAGCTAAGCTTTACACATCTAAGAGCCTATAGCTATAAAGCATTTATAATAACTAATAATATGTATTAGAACAAATCTAAGCTACAGAGGCTAGACCTAAAGGCGTAGATTAGATATCTAGTTAGGTACTAATTATTAAACATCTACTGTGTATAGATACTACTGCTAGTAAAAGTAATCTATACACGTAATGTTATTTTTAATAAACACTTAATCTTTAGCAGTAAGCCTAAAGACCTAATAGATAACCTTATGTATAACATAGTAAAGGAAATTACTATATATATTAGAATAATTAAGCTTCTAACACTTAGTTATTAGCTAGAGACAGAGTTATTCTATAAAGACAACACTATAGATAATACATTAAATTTTAACAAAGTAGACCTACTAGGCTACTATTAAGAAAGAAAGATTAGAGATAACTATCTGTCTTCTCTAAACACTCTGCTACCTGCAGCATTACTTATGTAGTTAATAGCTAGAGCAGCACTAAAGCTAAGCTAAATAGGGTTGCTAAAGACTGTACTATAAGCTGTAGCCTTTATAGCTAGCATAAGATTTAAAAGTGTAGAAAAGCATAGCAGCAAGACGCTAGATAAAGCAGCATTAATAAGAATACTATTTAAAAAAAAGACACTTTATAAAAGCTAGCTGCTACCTCTGCTATTAACTTAAAAGCAACTAGAGGAGCACCCTCTATATAAGATGTTTAAGGTAGTAGAAAGAACGCACCTAGATAGTTATTAGATAATAAAATCCTAGACAGAGGTCTAGACAAAGCTAATTAAGGCAGCTAGACAGCAGATTCTAGATTATATGTGGGTGTACACTTACAAGCTTAACAAGCACTACAGATTATAAAGATGTAAGGCGCAACTAGTAGTCTACAGTAATTAATAGAGAAACATTACTACATAAAATACCTACGCTGCTACTCTAGCAAGACGCTTATTTTAAATGCTAATAGCAATATCTGCACACTTTAACTTAGAGCTTAAATAATACAATATAACTAACATGTTTGTACATGCAGTAATTAACCGCAATATCTACATGCGGATGCTAAGAGGCTATTAGAAACTAGGTATAATACTAAAGCTTTAAAAGGCACTATATAGCCTATAAATTTTTTCTCTACTTTAGCAACACTATTTTATAA